GTTCGTTTGATCTCAGTTCTTCATTGGTTAAAATCCGATTATGACGTCGAATTTTCTTGCTTTCCTCTGAATTTCCTATTGTGACGGCATGAAAAAAGGCGATGCATGCCTGATGACGTCACATAGAAAGAACACATCTTATTGCAGATCATTCAAAAAGAAGGAATAAGTTTGCCTGCATATTGTTTGAAAATCATTAGAGAAACAGATTCCACCACTAAATCTCGTGTAATACTATATTTATCCACTCTCGACAGTTAAATTTTAAATATTTAAAACGCTCGGCGAGCCTCGCGTTTTAAATTTGAAAATTTAACTGTCTCGAGTGGATAAATATCGTATCACACTCGATGCAGTGGTAGAATCTATATATAACGGTGCACAAGGATTGATGTTAGATGTTAGATGTTACGGTGTTATAAGTTGTATATAATCGGGTACAAGGATGGATGTAAGATGTGACGGTGTAATCAGTTGTATATAACGGGGTACAATGACAAATATAAGATGTGACACTGTTGTAAGGGTACAATCATGACAAATATAAGATTTGACACTGTTGTACGGGTACAATGTCATTTGGTCTCTTGTGGAGAGTTGTCTCATTGGCAATAATACCACATCTTCTAATTTTTATATTCATAGTAAATATTACTAAATAACTATCTAATCTTGTTCGAATTTTAAACACATGACATTGTATGTATGTACACATGCCTAGCGCAATGGTAACTCATTACGATATGAACGCACATACAAGCTCTTAATATATACGAGTACAGTCCTTAAATCTAAGTGAATCATGATATGGATGCTCGGGTTTGTATAGCTACGGTTTAAAGCAGAGAACATGTCTGTGTATGATAAAGATCATTATAGGATTAAACTCATTTTTTTCTAGAGGTTATTGATGTGTAAACTTGGTCGATTAACTCACAAAATTATTTTTTAGTTTATGAGTCATCGACACAGTTCACACATCAATAACCTCTAGAGAAAATGTGTTTAAGGAGGTTCCCAACACTTTCACTAAAATAGATTTGGCTAGTTTAATTTTCATGAAATTTTGATAAAATAGTTACTTGGACCTGTTGATAGAAATATAAAAATTTCAAGAAATTTGAACCAAACAATTTACAGGAATAATTTCATTAGATTATAGCAGTTTGACAAACACTAATTTTGATCATTGAGAACTTTACTAATAGTATATGATTAAAACGTTCAGCTGATTTTTAAAGAGTTAACTCCCATTAAGTGTTTGGTACCCCCTTAATCCTTATAATTCTAAATCGGAACGTTATTTATTATTTATTATTTCTTTTGATTTTAACTTTCTTAACAAGACATCGTAAGTAGTTTCACCAATATAGTTTATTGAAGTGTAAACCTAGGAAAGAAACTTTAACGGACCAATCAAATTCAAGTATTTGTTGATAAGCAAATCATATAATAAGAATCAGCACACCGTGCAACCGAATTGTCATGATTCAATTAAAAAAAAACGTCGAACAAGGTCACAAACCGACGTTTTGCTAAATATGGTAAAAATTAGTTATGCCTATATACAAATCTAAGAGTCTTTTAACTATTTGTGTATAACAAACAACGCATTAATAATTATGCTATCTCATAATGTTATATGAATACGATGTAAGCTGTGGTATTATTTAGGACGAAGAATTCTGTATGAAACATATAAGACCATATAACCAATTACGCGAAGAGAATCATTATTAACCTTATACGAAAACATATCTCCATTGCAAATATATGTCATCTCATAACGTTATAGGAATACATGTCTACTTATAATGCTATATGAATACATGGCTTAATTGTTAATGTATGTCAACTTATAACGCTACATGAATACGTGTCTACTCATAACGTTATATGAATACATGTCTTCTCATAACGTTATATGAATACATGTCTACTCATAACGTTAATTGAATACATGTCTTCTCATAAAGTTATATGAATACATGTCTACTCATAATGTTATAGGAATACATGTCTACTCATAACGTTATATGAATATATGTCTGAATTGCAAATGTATGTCAACTCATAACGTTATATGAATACATGTCTGCATGAATTGCAAGTGTATTGTCAACACATAACGGTATGGAAGTATAGGTTTGAAAAAATCTAAAACCATACGAATTCATATCAACATTGTAATAGTCCACAACCCATAACGCCTACTCAACAACAAATTATGCTACTGCAAGTTGAAAGCATAATGCAAGTTGAAAATATAATGTGTTTTATGTGGGTGTATCATTTCTATCTGTTCAACTTAGGTCAAGAAATCGACTTTTGTAATTTATAATGTCAAAACTTGCATTTCATTGCTATAGAATATCAATTTGTACACTAGTATATATCGACATTAAAGCATAACAAGCATTGCATAATTTGAAGCTTTATGAAAAACTCTCTTCTATTAATTTTTAATTTTATTTTGCAGGATATATAGGCTAATAGACATTCCTTGTTGTGGAGGATTTTGACATTGGAAGTTGATAACAACACATAAAATGCTACCCAGTTGATAGCTTTAAGTAAAGATGCACTGAAAAGTGGAGCGTACATTGTATGTGATCGTACAAGAACTGTTGGAATTTGCAAACTTTTAAACTTTCATTGTGACAAATACCTATATCATAAACTATCTAATTATCACATTGACATGCTTTTTTGGTTATGATACAAATGATGTTGCAACTATCTAGTCATGTAGGGGAAAATCATTATTTGTGATATATATTTAAGTCAGTTTAAAAACATTATGTATGTGATTTCACTGACTGTTACTTGTGATATCATAAGGTATCTGGTGTACTTTTCTTACATATAATATGCTCATTTGATTACATAAAGAATTACTTGTTAAAATATGTTTTATTGTTATATTTTGCCTGATTGAATATAGTTTTTATAACAGTTTATTTTAGTTGAGTACTTATGGAAAATTATGTACGCTTGAAAATAGAACATGTTCCACATTTGAACACCATCACTTTGAACACTTATGTCAACTGTTCTGAAAGTTAACGTCTGGTGTTCTGAATTTTAACACTTTGGCTTTAAACATGTTCTATGTGTTCAAAAAGTGTTACATGGCTGTTAAACGCGTCGACGTATTAAGATTTTGAACATTCGGACACGTTAAATCGTTGAACACTAAGTGTTAAGAACTCTAACATCAAGTGTTCAAAAATGAAACACAAAGGCATTAAAAACTGAACACCACACATTCAATTGATGAACACTAGTGTAAACATTTGGAACACCATTACACGCTCAAAAAGTGTTACAAAAAAGCGTTCAAGCAGTGTTCTATTTAATTAACACTTAGATTTACAATGTAGATTAGTACTATACTAGTCTTATGAGTACCAATGATCGTCATAAATTCGCAGTCACAGATTTCCTGATATTTTTTAACGGATGAACTCCGTTTGGAAATATTCTTATAAGTTAAACACATAAATGGTAATCAAAAGGTAGGTTTAGCATATTTTCCTAATGAAGTTCAAAAGTTTGGTTGGCTTGCTTGGTTTGTTTGTATAAATGTTCGCTAAAGCATTGTAATTCAGATTGACATCTGCAATCAATAGAAAGGCGGGGCTTCAGCTTGTATACATTATACATGTTATACTAAGTCTTGTAAATGTTATTGGATGTTAAGTATAATGTATACAAGCTGAAGCTCCGCCTTTCTATTGAGTGCAGATGTCAATCTTAATTACAATACTTGAACAAACATTTATACTAACAAAGCAAGCAGCCAACCAAATCTTTAAACTACAAGCATTAGGAAAATAGCTCTAATTGATACCATAGACGCGGACTTTTAAATGCTCGTAAACACAACGAAATGCGGGTCACGGCACTGTATCGAATTTTGCATGAAATTCATAGTATGGATAAATGAGCTTTGACTAAAAATCTGATAATAGTTATACTGTGTCCCAGGTCAAATGAACCAAACATATATTCAATCTGTCCATAAATTCTGAAGCTTTTTCTCCATTTGGCTAAATCTGAACTGATCAATTATATATAATGTCACTTGAAATCTAAACTGTATTGACGAGGATCATATTTAAAATTAAAAACCTTTTTAAGTTCTTTTGAGAGAAACCGATTTGTTTTCTTTACCACAGCATTCGTAAGGTATGTAAAATAGGGGAGAAATACACCTTCATACATTTCATAAGTCTAGCCAATTTAGTCCTTCTTCTGGCTGTTTTTTCTATGCTTGCATGTAGGTTTATTTGATAAATGTTCACGTATATTATGTTTTATAACCAGATTGCATTGCAATATAATGTTTTTACTCTTTAGTAATTAAAAAAAAAATGGATAGTTTTACTTTATATTGTTTTAAATGACCAGATTTAATGCATTTTTTTTTATTAACTATCATCTTTTTATAGCCTGAGACGGATTAAGTGCTTTATACAAGTTCTAGCTTTTATTTGCTTAAAGTTGTGCTGTTTTATAACTTAAATTTATTTGCATGCTGCATTCTTTGTTTTATTTGTTACAGGATTTATGTTTTTATACTCCGTGAAGTATGTTAATATGTGCTTATGTTCAAATGTTTGTATGCGGTGAATCCAAATAAGGGAGCTACCATTTGATTTTTATGGGGGGGGGGGGGGGGGGTTAGGATGGTTAGGATGGAATTTAAAAACTTGATAAGACAGGACAGCAGTTTTGAGTAAAAAAAAAGGCAGGACTAGTGAGCTAACGGTAAATTGACGGTGGGTAACTGATCTTCGGTCACGGTAGGAACCTTTAGAACTGTTACAGTACATCATTTAGTAAGTAACGCGTACATTTTTTTTTATATTGTCTAATCTATAATTAAGATATATCTTATTTTAGTCATTCTTAAAAGATTTTGATTTCGCAATGTTTGTAATCAACCATCCTTTTTATAAGGAAAGTATGTTTGGTTGCGAGTACGGTGATGCAATTAGACTTTTATGACGTTCTTTTTTTCCGCGAATTTACAAAAACACGATTGCTGCACCTAATTTCGTCCTGCCAGAAATATTGGTCGATCATAAGGTATTTTTGGGTTTATGTGATTGAAAAACATAATCAGTCAAAATAGATACACTGTATTAAAATCAAATTCTACAAAGACATATGGCACAAAATAATATGCGCCTTCTGACTAAAATGAAAGATGAAACAAACCCTTACATGTACACATGTTATAGTCACATGGTTAACCAGTTAACAGTAACGCACAAATTAAGAAAGAAAGTTTGAGTAGTGGCATAGCATGCTGTTGCCTGAAATGGCAGATTCAGAAAGCATACATCTTATATTCCATCAATGGAATTGTAAACATTCTTTTGTGTAGATCAATGTCACAATGACAATGTCAATGATGCTTTTTACATTTATGGTCAGATCATATGTTTTCGTATGTCATATGAATTTGTACTATGCATGCTTTATGAATTGAAATTGTGATGTCACAATGCATCCTTAATAGCATGAAAATCCATGAGACGAGGATACATGCTGGCCAGTATTATTTGTCTGTCTTGCAGTCCTTTCATTTGATGTAAGTCTACAAAATGAATTGACTTAACAGATGAACAAAATTCCTTGACTTGACCATTTCAGCCTTTGTCATGGTTTTGATATTTAAACTGTGACCCATTTTTAATGTACATAGAAGTTATTATTAGTATCTTTGCAGGGATTTAACTGTACATAATGTTATTTTTAAATAGTTAGGTATTCACTTAATAATTTTTATAAGGATTAACCAACCTTAATTCAGTAAGGTTGGTGTACTCCAACTATTGGAGGAAGATATAGAGGAAAGAAGAAGAAGAAGACATGATAAAATTATCAGTTCATTAAACATGTTAAAACATTCCTCAAATGGTCTTTAAATCACACATTAAACTCTGCATAGATATTCCATCCAATTCAAGTCTTGTGTCTAAATAGATAATACACATGTGCGGTCATCTTACATATGAAGATCTACATGTACCAATCATGCCAGTTGGACAAACTTGAGTACACATCTGATACAGACTGACAATGACCAGAATCCAGTAATTGCACAGTATTAATAACTCTGCACATCATGCAATACTTCACCATTCCGAGCTTAAAACCTCAACAGCTGGGGTCTCATGGAAGTGGGCTTGCTCGCAGCTTAGCATGGCATAGTTAGTACATGTAGTAAGTGAAGTCAAAGACTGGTCGACTCTTGAGCATGTTGAGTAGAAAAAAAATCATCCCAGTAGGGTTACATGTCTTCCTTTAGACTGTTATCTTGTCATGATGTGATCTAGAATGTTATAAGTACAGTTCAGTATGACACTCTAGTACAAGGCTGGGTTCATATTAAAATTACTTTAACATGTTCTTGTCCTGAAGATGCATTTAATTTGCAAATTAGATGTTTTCCAGTCATTCATCATCATTGATAACTGTTTGTACTTTTTTACCAAGCTTGAGGCATTGATTTACAGTCCAGTTTATCATGTTTATGGTGGATTATCGGTATATATTTCCTCAGATAGAATTTTCTTATACTTTGGCAAAATAATGATTTTACTATGCTTTTTTTGAAAAATATAATAATAAATGTGGGTCACCGTGCTATTTGTTAAGCTACAAGTCCTGCAAAATTGCATAAATTTGCATAGATTGTTCATGAAAAAACACATTTTTGAGAATAAAAAGAAATGTATGAGATAGAATTCTGAAATAAAATATGAGAAGATAGGTTTTATAATATGCTTTAAGAAAATAAGAAGAATTAATGGTGTCAGCGAACTTGTTTTCTTGCTACATGTACAAGTAAAAAAGGGAAAATTTCCCTATCATTTCAGAATAAAACTTTTACTATAAGAGTTATCTCCCCTTAAATGGGCAAGTTGAAAAATTGATTCTACAAACACAAATATTTGATATTTGTTTAAGCATTTTGAATAATGCAATAAATCACTTATTTTACTTTATACAAATAAACAGTCTTGCACATGAATTGCAAATCTGTCTCAAAATTTGCAGATTTAGACAAAGAACTAGACCGATTATGTACTGCTATTGTACAATCCAAGATGGCGATATACAGTGAATCTACCTTAAAATACTGGATTTTCATTATCTTGACACCAAAGAAGTGGGGTCATACCATGAATTTTGATAAACTGCCTTGAATTCTCAAAGTTCTAGAAAAGAATAAATATGTAACAGGGAATGTTCTCTTCCATTGCAGCATCAACTCATAAAATTTTGATGGGATGGTGACACCCTTTCCAACATAGTTATGATAGTGTTTTAATCAGATCAGGAATTTTCATATAAAATATTTGTTTATTAGGGCACTGTCGTTTATTCATTGGAAGGCCTTTAGTAATCAGACATGTATCCAGCCATTTTTAAAGAGGGGGTTTCTACACATGCACATCATAAAAACGGGGGTTCCAACCATATGTCCCCATACAAAAGCATTAGTTGTCAGTTGTCAAACAAAAAGGGAGTTCCAGCAACAATACAATAAAACCAAAAAGGACATCCCAAAAAACCTGTACATGTTTAATATTAAGAAGTTCATTTTTATAATCTATATTTTGTTAGAGTGCAATGAATGGATCTGCCAGTGTTAATGGAGAGACAGAAAATCGAGACAAAGTTGTCATTCTAGATGCAGGAGCACAGTATGGAAAGGTGAGAACAGAAACTTATCAATGTCAGTACCAAGAGTATTAGCAGCTTGATCACTATACAGCATTAATCCTGTCAGTACCAAGACTATTAGCAGTATGATCACTGTACAGCATTTTAACTCTCAGTACCAAAACAATTAGCAACTTGACCACTATACAGCATTACTCCTGTGTGTCTGTTTATTTTGATTTTGGGCATGTTGGGTATAAACACAAATAATTAGAAGCAGATTAACAGGAGACTTTACTTTATTACTTTATTTGTACAAGTACAAATAACATGAATAAAGCAAAAATTTATTTGTGCACCTGTTTTTTGTACTCTTGTTGGTTGATTACAGGATAAAACAAATTCATTTCATGCACATATATTTTATTAAAGTAAGAATCTTAGTTTGTTAGTTTGTACATTTGTAATGAATATATCTGTTAACAAAGTAAATGATTTTATATGATAGATGAGAGACCTCACAAAACATTATGTGTAGTTTGACACTTTTTGTTTTTTAGGTTATAGATAGACGAGTGAGAGAACAGAATATAGAATCAGATGTTCTGCCTTTAGATACACCAGCTTTTACAATCAAGGAAAAGGGATACAGGTAATTATAGTTATAATGTGTACTGTAAACGGAAATTTTTTGTTGTAGTTTTATTATCGCTATATTTTCGCTGTAAGAGTTGAAACGCAAAAATTAAACTTCTGCAATTAATTCAAGGAAAACTGATTCAAAGGACATGACAGATGAGGACCATACATGAACCTACACCAATAGGTTTATGAATGCAGGCAAATTAAGATCAGAGTCAAACGCGCCTGTCAAGAGCAGGGTTCCAACTCACAACCTCAGTGTTGACTTGCATTGGCTAATGATCACTGTAGATGAACTACTTAAACCACTCTGCCACAGATATGTAGATATGGTAGAACACAGTGCATCTTGGAATTTCTACAATAAATTCATTTTAATTAAAAGGTATATGTACATGTGTACTCCAAATGTTGAATAAAGTTATGCCAATTAACCAAAATAAAAATAATATAGTGAAAAAGGTTTTTTTCTTCATTTTCCTAACTATTATTATTACATATTAAGAATACAAGAAAGGACACATAATTAAAATATGAAAAAAAGAAAGATGCTTTAGAAAAACCATTTGATATGTTTTGTGTTCTTTATTAGTATTTTAATCATTTTACTTGCTGAACCAAGGCCATTTTTTTCTTGTGTTCCTAGAGTTCAAGTGGAAACAGAGATTTGGTTGTCAATTTGAAAAAAAATGAATGACATTAGTTTGTCACAAAGCCAATTATTATCAGGTAATTAAGTTCCGAGCAAAAATAACTGATTGCAAAAAAGGTGAAAAAATAAATATAAAAATCACATATTTTTGGCAGATGAGCAATTCAGAATCTTATGAGACTCTTGTTTATTAGACTGCAAAGCCACCAAGACATGTCTTTGAGTTATTCAATATTAAAATTTTTTAAAATGCTACAGTTACTTTTTGGCAGTGCTGATAAACCTATCTTGAATGTCTACTTTCAGAGCTATTATAATATCAGGTGGCCCTAGTTCTGTATATGCAGAAGATGCTCCAAGATATGATCCAGACATATTCAGGTGTGGACTACCAGTCCTGGGTATATGTTATGGGATGCAGGTAATTATAGATATGTGATCCAAGTGTGGTGCTCCTATTAAGGATAATTATTACAGACATATTCAGGTGTGGACTTCCAGTCTTGGGTGTATGTTATTGGATGCAGGACTTTTTGCAGGTAATTATAGATATGTGATCCAAGTGTGGTGCTCCTATTAAGGATACTTATTACAGACATATTCAGGTGTGGACTACCAGTCCTTGGTATATGTTATGGGATGCAGGTAATTATAGATATGTGATCCAAGTGTGGTGCTCCTATTAAGGATACTTATTACAGACATATTCAGGTGTGGACTTCCAGTCCTGGGTATATGTTATGGGATGCAGGTAATTATAGATATGTGATCCAAGTGTGGTGCTCCTATTTAGGATACTTATCACAGACATATTCAGGTGTGAACTTCCAGTCCTGGGTATATGTTATGGGATGCAGGTAATTAAAGATATGTGATCCAAGTGTGGTACTCCTATTAAGGATACTTATCACAGACATATTCAGGTGTGGACTACCAGTCCTGGGTATATGTTATGGGATGCAGGTAATTATAGATATGTGATCCAAGTGTGGTGCTCCTATTAAGGATACTTATTACAGACATATTCAGGTGTGGACTTCCAGTCCTTGGTATTTGTTATGGGTTGTAGGTAATTATAGATATGTGATCGAAGTGTGGTGCTCCTTTTAAGGATACTTATTACAGACATATTCAGGTGTGGACTTCCAGTCCTGGGTATTTGTTATGGGTTGCAGGTAATAATAGATATGTGATCGAAGTGTGGTGCTCCTATTAAAGATACTTATTACAGACATATTCAGGTGTGGACTTCCAGTCCTGGGTATTTGTTATGGGATGCAGGTAATTATAGATATGGAATCCATAGACATCTTAAAAGTGTGGTGTTCCTATTAATAGTTCTTTGATCTATGAAATATTGTTAAACTAAAGAAATGCAAAACATAAAAATACGTCTTATATGAAAAACATTATATATATGAAATATGTGATGGATTTTAATACTGAGGGAGTTGCATGAATTAGATTGTTTAGTTTTTGATACATGTACATATGTTATCATTAATTATCAATCTCATTAAAATCCGATGTTCTGATACGCTACACTCCCCTCACGTTAGGGGAGTGTAGCGAATTAGAACATCAGATTTTAATGAGATTGCATTAATTATGACATTGATATTTTTCAGATGTTAAACAAAGAATTTAATGGTACTGTGAAAAAGAAAGAGGCCAGGGAAGATGGCCAGTTCACAATCACCGTAGATACTAAATGTAGTTTGTTTAAGTAAGATATCTTGTTATTGTTTGAATTTCCAGTGGCAAGAATTACATTGATACTCATGGTGAAAAATGTAAATACGAAATAGTTATATACATGTAGGACCAGTTTTGTAGTTGATAGACATGTCCAGCTAGATGCTGGTTTTCAGTATAAAACTTTGATCAAATATTGAAAATGGTCATTCTTCAATGTATGGTTTCTTTTTACATGTATATATTAACCTTCTTTTTAACTCTACAAAAAATCAGAAGAGCCTATAAATAGTTTTTTTTTTATTTGGAAATCTTCATATAATCCCTTTATAGAGACATGAATACCATGAGTGAAAATCTTCAAATTATCTCCCTTTTCATTGATGTTTGAATTTCAAGTACTGTCAATTCAGAAATTATTGGGTGCATTCATTATTGAGATTTTTTAGGAGAGGACAAACATGTGTGATTAATCATTGTGATTTCAGGAAAATCTGCTGAAAAACAGATAGTATTTGATATCAGAATGCGAGTTCTTATAAATGTGATCATCCAGTCGCATTATTCGCATTTATAAAAACCTCACAATAATTTCTGAATTTACAGTAATACATACCTGCCAACTTTCACCATTTAGACATGTACTACATGATTTTGACCCTTTGTCCTGATACCATGATCATGGTCCTGAAAATAGCCCTAAAACAAGAATTTATGAAAATTTGCTAGTTCCCAATTTCGCACTTTTTCCAAGAGAGACAATGAGGATCATCGATAATTAGCCAATCGAAATTCTTTCCTTGTGGTCAAGCTTTCATCTACTGATTAATGATGGGATAGAAAAACAATCACAGAATAAAAGCTTGTTTGCAATTTTAAGTGGTTTTTCTCTGGGCTTGTGACAGAATTATATAAATCTTATTAATCATGATGGGTGAGTTATCACTTGCTAAATTGTTCTTCCCATGCTAATTAATATTTGGTTATCTTTAGCATGTTTAAAAAATAAATACATAATCAAAACATTGCTTAAGGTGGAACATAACACTACAGGGAGATAACTCTGTAAAAATCAGCTGAACGTTTTAATCATGTTCTATTGTTAAGCTTCTCAATGATCAAAATAAGTGTTTGTCAAACTGCTGTATATCCAATGAAATTTTTCCTATAAAGTGTGTGGTTCAAGTTTTTTGAAATTTTTATATTTTTGTCAAAGGGTCAAAGTAAAATAATTTGTCAAAATTTTATGAAAATTAAACAAGCCAAATTAATTTTAGTCAAGGTGTTTGGTACCACCTTAAAAATGAAAGAATGCTTCTTGATACATTGTGTGTGCTAACTTTAAAATTGAATTATAGTTTGAGTCATTTAGAGAATTATTACTGTGGATTCATTGTTATTCGTTGGATACAAATTTTCATGGATTTTGTGGGAAAAGGTGAACCATGAATTTAAATGTTGAATGAATTTTGGAAAAACAACGAAATCAAATATCCACGAAAATACAACTTTTCTTCAATCCACGAAAATTGATACCCACGAAAATAAATGAAATCATAGTATTAGAATATCAACCCTGTTTTGTAACATTTATATTTTACTGTATTAACAATTAAAATTACCGACAATCTTTTAAATTGTATATTAAAAGGAAGGCTTGGTGGATGAGAGGTCAATGTAGTTCATTTACAGCAATCACAAGCTTGTCAACACTGAGGTTGTAAGTTTGAACCCTGCATGTTGCAGGTTCCCATCTTAACTGACTAGGATTGCTAGTATTCCTGCCAAAGTCCGGTTGATCAGAATGTCTCTTCGGCACTCCAGCTTCCTCCACAAATAAAAATTGACCACAATGACATCCAATGGTGCTGAAAGTGGTGTTAAACTGTCAATCATTAATTTTTATACTGTAAATTCGGAGATTATTGCAGGGTTTTTATTAATGCGAATAATGCGACTCCTTGAGTATCGCAAAAATAAAAACTCGCATTCTGATATCTGTTATGTATATCTGTACACAAGCTTTTACTAAAATCGCAATAATTAAAACTCACATTTTTGTTCGTTCTTGAAAAATTGCAATAATAAATGCACGCAATAATTTCTGAATTACGGTATCTGTAAATTATTTATATGCTTAATTTATTTTCAGGGGTCTGAACAAGCAACAGTCAGTCTTACTTACACATGGTGACAGTATTGACCAAGTAGCTAAAGGATTCAAATCGATTGCAAGTTCTGGGGATATTGTAGCAGGTATGGTTCCATGGTATTATAAATCTATGGACAAAAGGCTTTTCATATTTACAACTTTTAGGAATGACTGTAATATATTTTCTGTCTATTCAAAATAATCTCAAAAGTGTGGTGCACACTTTTGAATAAACCGCTACTTCGGTTATTCAGTGTGCACCACATTTTTGATGTTATGTCTTCATAAACAGGAAATATATTACAGTCATTCCTTAAATAAATAATGCATTTCACTCAGTTAAAATATAATTTTGTAACATAAACAAAAAGTAGATAAAGTTCATAAACTGGTTATCTTTAATTCAGTCTCAAATAAATCAAAGCATCTGGTATTGTTACTATGAAGGAAGAAAAATGATGATAAAAGTGATTCATTGTCATTATATGGTTATTTGAAGTTCTTCTTCATTCAAAACTGATAGATGCTGGGAGGTAGTTTCATGATTTTTAATCGGGTCAAGGTTTTAAGTTTTTTTGTCCCATGAACCAGGGCTCTTTCCCTTTCACTGTGTGTGGGATATTTGCCACAATACTTGCACAACTTTAAACCAGTTCACTCATCAAAATCTTACCAAGGACAGTTAACCTTCCAGTGGGGCAAAAATTTACGTTCATGCTTTTCCTTGCCATATTATTGGTCTTTAGTCAGATCCTGTCTTTTGGGCTGTGTTTCATCAGTCACCCCCTCTGTATCACCGTTTCATCAAGTTTTCATTTGGAAGAGGTCAACCCAAATTGAAAAAGACTCATACCATTATTTACTTATGTTTGAATGATAAAGTCTGGAGTTTCCCAGTATCTAGTTCAACGACCCGTCATGTGACTACACATCAATTGTGAAGAATTTAAAAAGCAAACACACAAATTTCTTTTCAGTTAAGTTACATATTTTAAGTTTATTTTAATACTAGACTTATTGAAGTTAATATTGATTCACTTATAGGGTCTTTGCATCGGAACTAAACACATTTATTTAAAAACCAGTTGTTGGCATGACACGGGTTATGTTCTTCTCATATATGTTATGATGGTATGATACTAAACCCCTAACGGGAAGGATTGTTCCTGATATTCATATGATGAAGACATAATCTTTCAATCAGTTTAATTGAAGTCTGGAGCTGGCATGTCAGTTAACTGCTAGTAGTTTGTTGTTATTTATGTATCATTGTCATTTTGTTTATTTTCTTTGGTTACATCTTCTGACATCAGATTGGACTTCTCTTGAACTGAATTTTAATGTGCGTATTGTTATGCTTTTACTTTTCTACATTGGCTAGAGGTATAGGGGGAGGGTTGAGATCTCATAAACATGTTTAACCCCGCCGCATTTTTGCGCCTGTCCCAAGTCAGGAGCCTCTAGTCTTTGTTAGTCTTGTATTATTTTTAATTTTAGTTTCTTGTGTACAATTTGGAGTTTAGTATGGCGTTCATTATCACTGAACTAGTATATATATTTGTTTAGGGGCCAGCTGAAGGACGCCTCCGGGTGCGGGAATTTCTCGCTGCATTGAAGACCTGTTGGTGACCTTCTGCTGTTGTCTGTTCTATGCTCGGGTTGTTGTCTCTTTGACACATTCCCCATTTCCATTCTCAATTTTATTATTGAATTTATTCAAAATGCTTTTGGAATTTTTTTAACCTGCAAAATACAAAAGTCCGTCAGGGGTAACTAACTACCAGTGGGAAGCTCCGAAACTGAAAATTGATTGTCACAGACCTCAGACCACTGCTAATTTGAACCCCTGACTGACACTTACTTACTATACTTTGAATGCCTAGGGGAGTATGCTTAGTAAGACAATGTGTGCAATATATAGTGAATGAGTTGATTTTGTAAATATATATCAACATGCAGACCAAGGATCCGGAAATTTTTGCAGACAATTTCGGTCATTTTGAGATGTTTGAAAAGTTGGTGCCCCTTTTCAAATTGTCGATATCAACTTGACTATATTCATAGCATCAACGAACATAACGAACTTGTATTGCTGTTTCATCGCATTTACTAAGTAAATATCTTACCATTACCATGAAGGACAGTTTAGGGAAGGCAACAGTCTAAAATTGAAATGATTTTAATGACTCAAAATGGTTATATTCTCAGACATTGCTTACGTTTCTTTCGATATGACAAAAGTTAAAACCGGAAGTTTGCGATATTTTAAAGTACGAATATTTCCGGATTCATTTCCGGGATTTGTTTTGTTTATCAAACTAACAGGAAATCACCGGCTTTTTATGGCTTTTTTATTTTATTACCTTTAAACGTGTTTGAATATAACAGATAATAGTTGCACTCGTTTAATTAAGCATGAAATCAATTTGCATTTTACGATTAAATAGTAAATTTGCTGAAGACAATTTCACGCATGCGTATTACATAGTAAATAAAGCACATGTGTTACTCATGAAAAAATACTTTTTTCTACGTTAATTTAGATTTAATTTTTAAATCAGAATTGATGACTGTCTTTGATGAAAAGTAAATAAATAATGAATACACTGTCAGGGAACTTTAATGTTTTAAAGATATTATTCTGAGCTTGTGATCACTGTCAGGTGTGAATTAAAACCACAGGTAAAAAGTGATTAGCGATCATTAGCCAATGTTTCCCGGAGGCATTGACATAGATATTAGGAGGGCCCTCAGGATTATCAAACTACTGTAGTGGCAGTTTTATTACAGGAAAGGGATTATAAACAAAAACAAGTGATCACAAGTGCAAAATGGCGATTAAGAAATCCGATTTCAAACATTGAGTCAATGAAATGACCGAAATTACTTCTGTAAAAAAATAAAACTTGTCCTAAATCCCAATTACTCGTTTAGGACAAATAGTTTCATCTTAGGACATGACTGGCAAATATGACCGTTTCCGGACCCTTGATGCAGACATCTTATACGTTCAGGTATTTCACATCCAATATTTTATGGTAATATTCTTTACAAAGCACAAAAATGTCGGCATTCACCTCAAAAGCTAACCAAACCTTTAAACAGACTTATTCGGAAGGGATATAGTTAGGATACTGTTGTCAGGTCATTAAGGATTGCATATTTTGGTATTAATATTGATTCACTCATAGGGTCTTTGCATTGGAAATAAACACATTTATTCTAAAACCAGTTGTTGGCATGATACGGGTTATGTTCTTCTCATATATTTTATGATGGTATGATGCTAAACCCCTAACGGGAGGGATTGTACCTGATTTTCATATGATGAAGACATCTTTCAATCAGTTTAATTGAGGTCTGGAGCTGGCATGTCAGTAACTGCTAGTAGTCCTTTGTTAATTTATGTATCATTGTCATTTTGCTTAGTTTCTTTTGTTACCTATTCTGACATCGGACTCGGACTTCCATTAAACTGAGTTTTACTGTGCGTATTGCTATGTGTTTCTTTATTCTACATTGGCTAGAGGTATAGGTGGAGGGTTGAAATCTCACAAAACATGTTTAAACAAGCTGCATTTTTGCACCTGTCCCAAGTCAGAAGCCTCTTGCCTTTGTTAGTCTTGTATGTTTTTTTAATTTTAGTTCCTTTATATGTTTTGGAGTTTAGTGTGACGTCCATTTTCACTGAACTAGTACAAAATTTTATTTAGGGGCCAGCTGAGGACCACCTCTGGGTGCAAGATTTTCTAGCTGCTTTGAAGACCCATTGGTGGCCTTCGGCTGTTATCTGCACTTTGGTCAGGTTGTTGTCTCTTTGACATATTCCCCATTTCCATTCTCAATTTTATTGAATTTTTAAGATGTTACTGAAATATCATAATATTCAATCCAGAATTTCTATTTATCCTGAAAATGTTTTCAATAGGGATAGCCAATGAGAAAATGAATTTATATGGTGTACAGTTTCATCCAGAAGTAGATCTAACAGACAATGGAAGACAGATGATTAAAAATTTCTTATATAACGTAGCCAAGTGTGAAGGAAGGTACACCATGGTATCTCGGGAAGAAAGTTGTGTAAAATACATCAGAGAAACCGCTGGGGATCATAAAGTTTTAGTAAGTGTTAACAGTAAACTCATCAATGATACCAGAATATTGTACGCCAGATGGGGAGGGTTGAGATCTCATAAACATGTTTAACCCCGCCGCATTTTTGCGCCTGTCCCAAGTCAGGAGCCTCTAGCCTTTGTTAGTCTTGTATTATTTTTAAGTCTCCCAAACGAAGTTTGGGAAGACTTATTGTTTTTGCTCAGTTCTTATTATTATTATTATTCTTCTTCTTCTTCCGCCGCTTTTAAATTTGAACTTGTCCGCACCCGTTCTCCAAAACCGCTTGTCAGATTAACTTAGGGTTTCACAATATGTTAGACTAACATGTCTAGTGGTGCAATCAGGGTTTTGTTTGTGCAATGGGGTTTATAAAGGGGTACTTTGAGGGGCAAAAAGAAAAGAGGGTTTTACTATAGAACCCTATGGGATTTTATTTTTTAAAATTTTCAAATGATTATAAATTGAAAACCGTTTGTGATAGACACAATCTTTTTAATTGAAAATGTTCTAAATGATAAAGCCCATTAAATGAAATACAGGGTTAGTCCCCAGGGGTCATCCCGACCCCCTGCCATTTGAGAAAGTTCTAATATCTTGTAAATGGTCGAGATCCCCACCCCTAAACCATATATATTCTGGTTTGTCATGATAAAGCACATCAAATGTAATACAGGGTTAGTCCCCAGGGGTCACCCCCACCCCATGCCATTTAAGAAAGTTCTAATATCTTCTAAGTGGTCAAGATCCCCACCCCTAAACCATATATATTCTTGTTTGTCATGCTTAGATGGTTTGATTGATAAACAGGGTTAGTCCCCAGGGGTCATCCCGACCCCCTGCCATTTCAGAAAGTTCTAATATCTTGTAAATGGTCGAGATCCCCACCCCTAAACCATATATATTCTGGTTTGTCATGATAAAGCACATCAAATGAAATACAGGGTTAGTCCCCAGGGGTCACCCCCACCCCCTGCCATTTAAGAAAGTTCTAATATCTTGTAAGTGGTCAAGATCCCCACCCCTAAACCATATATATTCTGGTTTGTCGTGCTAAGATGGTTTGAATGATATACAGGGTTAGTCCCCAGGGGTCATCCCGACCCCCTGCCATTTGAGAAAGTTCTAATATCTTGTAAATGGTCGGGATCCCCACCCCTAAACCATATATATTCTGGTTTGTCATGATAAAGCACATCAAATGAAATACAGGGTTAGTCCCCAGGGGTCACCCCCACCCCCTGCCATTTGAGAAAGTTCTAATATCTTGTAAGTGGTCAAGATCCCCACCCCTAAACCATATATATTCTGGTTTGTCATGCAAAGATGGTTTGAATGATATACAGGGTTAGTCCCCAGGGGTCATCCCGACCCCCTGCCATTTGAGAAAGTTCTAATATCTTGTAAATGGTTGAGATCCCCACCCCTAAACCATATATATTCCTATTTGTAATGTCTCGAACATTTGAATGACGTTTACGGTCAGTCCCCAGGGGTTCCCCCCCACCCCCAATGTTCTTATATCTTGTAAATGGTTGAGATCCCCACCCCTAAACCATATATATTCCTGTTCGTCATGTATCGAATATTTGAATGACGTATAGGGTCAGTCCCCAGGGGTTCCCCCCACCCCCAATGTTCTAGTATCTTGTAAATGGTTGAGATCCCCACCCCTAAACCATATATATTCTGGTTTGTCATGCAAAGATGGTTTGAATGATATACAGGGTTAGTCCCCAGGGGTCATCCCGACCCCCTGCCATTTGAGAAAGTTCTAATATCTTGTAAATGGTTGAGATCCCCACCCCTAAACCATATAAATTCCTATTTGTAATGTCTCAAACATTTGAATGACGTTTACGGTCAGTCCCCAGGGGTTCCCCCCCACCCCCAATGTTCTTATATCTTGTAAATGGTTGAGATCCCCACCCCTAAACCATATATATTCCTGTTCGTCATGTATCGAATATTTGAATGACGTATAGGGTCAGTCCCCAGGGGTTCCCCCCACCCCCAATGTTCTAGTATCTTGTAAATGGTCGAGATCCCCACCCCTAAACCATATATATTCTGGTTTGTCATGCCAAGATGATTTGAATAATATACAAGGTTAGTCCCCAGGCATCACTTATGCATATAACTTTACTGGACCAAACCAATTTTCACTGGACGTTGCCCAATGTCAGGCGACCCTGGGAATTACGAATTATGGGAGCTTCGTTTGGGAGACTTCGTAACAGCATCCTGTTACAATCATTTCTTGTTAATTTTAGTTTCTTGTGTACAATTTGGAGTTTAGTATGGCGTTCATTATCACTGAACTAGTATATATATTTGTTTAGGGGCCAGCTGAAGGACGCCTCCGGGTGAGGGAATTTCTCGCTGCATTGAAGACCTGTTGGTGGCCTTCTGCTGTTGTCTGTTCTGTGGTCGGGTTGTTGTCTCTTTGACACATTACCCATTTCCATTCTCAATTTTATTTGTCTACAAAAGACTCATCAGTGCTGCTCGAATCAAAAAAGTTAAAAAGGCCAAATAATGAAATAAAGAATGAAATTGAATAGCATTGAGGAACTAAAATTCCAAAATTTTTATCCAAATACAGCTTTGGCAATATATTCCTGGGGTAGAAAAGCATGAGTATTTCGAACAAATCAAAGTTTTGTAAGCAGTTAATTTATAAATATGACCATATCAGTATGTTCTTCTATGTGAATTTGAGTCTTGGTGACTGGGTGGTATAACAGATTCATCGTCATCACTAGCCTGTCAACACTGAGGTTGTGAGTTCAAACCTTGCTCGTGCTAGGTGCGTTAGACTCTTGATCTGGTCTATGTCAGTTTAACTGTAATTTTATCCTGCTTAATTGGGCAATTTTTCACATTTGACCTCACTTGAATGAATGACATTGCAGTCAAATTGCATCATCAAAATTAACTTCATATTTACATTTTCGTAAAGGTCTATATTTAGCAATGTTTAGTAGGTTTGAAATGCAACCAATAATTGTATTGTTAAAGATTAAAATTTATTGTCAATTTTTGAGATAAAGGAGTCCAATTATAAGCTTAAGCCTTCTATATGTTTTGATCATAATAAACTTTTCGCTAGAAAATAAATCATTTTCTTTCTTTCAAATATTACTGTCGAGTTATTTTACAAATGATTCTTTATTTTGTGAGTGATAGAGAGAAAACTGACATAAGAGGTCTCTAAACATAAAAGCTTCAATGCTGGTTCCTTTAGTTCTATTAATATATTATTCTACCTCTGAAGAAGGTTATTTTTTTTTTTTTTTTTTTTTTTGGTGTTTTAACGCCACTTTTAAGCACCGCTTTTGTGCTATTTCGTGGCGGCCAGTTTTTATTGGTGGAGGAAGCCGGAGTGCCCGGAGAAAACCACCGACCTTCGATAGGAAAACTGACAATCCTAGTCAATTAAGATTGGAGTCGAGTGCACCCGCACGAGCGGGGTTCGAACTCACAACCCCAGTGTCGACTGGCTAGTGATTACAGTAGTAACTACTTAGACCACTTGGCCACCGAGGCCCCGAAGAAGGTTATTGAAAGACAGAAAAGAGTCAGGCTATGTATCATCACCAGCTGTTAATTATGTGTTTAGGCATTCCCTGATTTTAATTTACGATTCTATATTTTGTGTCTTCCAGATGTTACTGAGTGGTGGAGTTGATTCGACTGTCTGTGCAGCTTTACTACACAAAGCTCTGAAGGATGACCAAGTGATAGCAGTACATATAGACAATGGTTTTATGAGAAAGAATGAGAGTAATCATGTGGAAGTGTCCTTGAGAGATATAGGTCTTGATGTTAAAGGTATAAAAACCCATTTTATTTATTGTAAAGTATTCTAGTTTTGCCAAGTTAATACAACTCGATTTCTAGGGTCATACTTGTGTGCAAGGTTTTTATTTCACGTTTTTTTCTTGTCTATGATGGTTATCTTCTTTAAAAAGTAAATTTATGAAAGAGCATATTTTTGCAATTTTTTATCTTTTTCAGGAAATTAGCGAAACTTTATTTTTTTACAGTACATTAATAACATAACATGGATATCTCTGTGACATCATTAATACAATGCATTTTTGGGGCCTTTTATAGCTTACTGTTCGGTGTGAGCCAAGGCTCCGTGTTGAAGACCGTACTGTGACCTATAATGGTTTACTTTTATAAATTTTGACTTGGATGGAGAGTTGTCTCATTGGCACTCATACCACATCTTCTTATATCTATAGAAAAGCAAACGAAAGGCTTGTTTTAACTTGTAATTTAATGGCTTTAGCATAAAAATGTTATTATACGAATTATAATAATTTTATATATATATAACAACTTCTTTTTGTAATTTTATAAGGTTGTAAAAGGGTTGATCCCTCTCACTTCTTACAAAATGTGCTTTGGTCAAAGCTTTTACACCCAAATAAAAATACAAAAAGAAGCATTCAATAAAAAAAAAACATGTATATAATGGTTACCATGGTTACGCTTTTAAATTATTTCAGTTATCCGTTCTGCTCACACCTTCTATACTGGAAGTACAGCAGTACCTGTTACGCAGTCAGATGGAACGTCACGGAAACGGAAAACAAGTACACTAAACACAACAGAAAATCCTGAGGAAAAAAGAAATATTATTGGGGATACTTTTATGAAGGTCAGTTTGGATAACTTAATGGAAAGTGAAGTACTTGCCAGTCATGGATAATGATCATGACCGAAATTTTAATTTTGAATGGCTTTTAAAATTTTCAGATTCATATTGCTTAATGGAAACCAAAGTACTTGGTCAGTCATGGTAAATGACCATTGGCCATCAACAAAATTTTAATTTTGATTGACTCAAAATTAAAAATTGCAGATTCTTATTACTTATAATTATTTGAAGTGAAATACTTGCCAGTCATGGTAAACATGGTAAATGACCATTGGTCATGACCAAAATTTTAATATTGACTGACCTCTCATGTAAATATCAATTTAAATATCAAACTGAATGTCATGCTTAAAAAATCATCTACACTAAATAAAGAAATTGATTGACTATTGCCCTGCACCTGCATATTGACTGAAATTGTTGTACAATCCAACTTTTTTTTGGTCTGACATCTTTCTTTTAGATAGTTTAAAATTTTACTATATCCTCTGTAAATTTTTATTTAATTGTAAACATACAAATTTTATTCAGCAAAAGTTGACAGTAGAAGTGTATGGAATGCATTTTACTCTTTAAATTGATGTTGTTAGTCCGAAGTAGTTTTAAAAAAAGAAGTGGAAGATGATAATTGGACATTCTTTAAGTGCCAATCTGCCTAAGAATCAGGCAGTGGTGAAAACATGACAAACAAAAACCCGCTCAACTTTACATTAACTAGTAATTCATGATATAATTTGTTGAAATGCACCAGAAAATAACAACTAAGGGGAGATAACTCCATAATTTGCTATCATTCTAACCAAAATTTATCTGGATATTTCTCGAATTACCAGACATGCAGAAACAAAAGTCCTACCATTTGTATCTCAGGATGAGGGTACCTTCAAAATAGGGTTGTTAGGTCGGTGTTTTTTTTTCAGCCATGTTTTGATTTTTTTCTAAATTTCCTGATTCTTTCAAAGACTGGCACTTAAGCCGTAGAAAAACTTGATAACGGCATGGCAAAAAAAGGAAAAAATGATGAAAGGATGAACAAATCCACAGAACACTACAGAAAAAACTAAAGACTGAGCAATTTAATTTAGAAAGGTTGTTAGATGAAAAATGTCACTTTTAGAGAAAATTCTTGTTTACTAAATTTCATATTTGGTAACTTTCTAAACAGTAAATTTTATCCATGCATGTGATTGAATTAAATTTCTAAATAGCAATTAGCAAATTGACTTTGATGCAAATTTTAGTATTAATAGCACACCAAGGGTCATAGTTCCTTTACAAGGTGAGGTGCTATTATTTTTTCGTAGCCTTTGTTTTTTGTTAAGAAAAACCAGAATGTTTACACTATACAGACTTCATTAGCAGGGTTGTGCTTCTTACACAAAAACTGCTCCAACAGAGTCCTGAGGAAAAACAACTGAAATTGACAAGTTTTACAATCACCATCAAGAATTTATTGATCGATACGATATGTCTGTCTCAACTCACTAGCAATATGCTTTCTTTAGGGACAAGAATAGTTGTCCTAATCTGTAATTATGCCCCCGCCGTAGGCGACAGGGTTTTTAAGTGTTACCCTTGACCATCCGTTTTTCTGTCTTTCTGTCACTCCATTCCATTTTCGTAGGTTTGAAGCTTGAGCAGGGACATTCTTGTCCTCAGACACATTCTTCTTTTATTTTTTAAATGTGTCCCATTCTGATTAGGACATTATGACTGAGTGTGGATTTGCATGGCGAGACGCTTACCCTGTCGACACATCTGGTTTTAATCCTTTTGAGTTTGTGTGATTCCCTCGTATTGTGGATTCATTATTATTCGTTGGATACCAATTTTCGTGGATTTCGTGGTTACCCAAGAACCACGAATTCAAATGTTCAACGAATTACAAATCTTCTATAGGAATGTATGCAGACTTTGCCAAAACCACGAAATCAAATATCCACGAAAATGTAATTTTTCCTCAATCCATGAAAATTGGTACCCACGAAAATAGATGAATCCACAGTATATGTTTATTACCTTGATTTGTTTTCATAATCAATTTTTGTTTTGTTGAACATTTAAATTTGTGGTATAGCTTTTCCGAAGAAGTTCTCAAAATTAGGTATTCCACGAAGAATAATGAATCCACAGTATTTTGGTAAAATAAAAAAAAAAAGTTTGTTATATTTACAGGTAGCAAATGATTTTGTAGAAGAACTAAATCTCAAGACAGAAGATGTTTATTTAGGTCAAGGTAAGATTTGATTTCTTTTAAAGGTTTTCAAGGGATATTTTAGTTTTATAGACAAGTTTTTTAGCAGCTTCATTAATAATACTTTAATGCTGATTATTTTTATGCCCCCACCATAGGGGAGGGGGCATTAAGTTGTACCCTTGTCCGTATGTACGTCCCAAAATTGGTTTCCAATCTCTTACTTTGGTTTGCCTCAACCAAATGTTATGAAACTTGTACACAATGCTTATTACCACAAAACACAGATCAAATTTGAATTTTGGTGGCGTCACTTTACCGTTCTACAGTTATGCCCTTTATAAATGAAAAAATTGCTGAATTTTTCGTTTCCATTCTCTAACTTTAGTTTGCCTCAACCAAATGATATGAAAATTATACACAATGCTTATTACCACAAATCTCAGATCAAGTACAAATTTGGGAAGTGTCACTTTTACCGTTCTTGAGTTATGTCCCTTTATAACATTATATGCAATCAGGGGCATCATCTGTGTCCCATGGACACATTCCCCGTTATTTGAGTTTATCCTCTTATAAACCGATTTTTGTTTTTGCACAATTCAAAAAAATATCGGAATTTTGTAGAGATGTACTGCTGTCAATTTTGGTAGAAATTTTGTTATTTGTGATGAAATGTGTATATGAATAAAGGTGATGTTGGGTTATGTACCACTGAGACAGCAACTCAACAACACACACAAAACACCTAGAGGTCACCATACAGTTTTCAACAATACTTTGTGTCAAGTTCTAAATCATCCCAGGGGCCTTGGTGGCCGAGTGGTCTAAGTAGTTACTACTGTAATCACTAGCCAGTCAACACTGAGGTTGTGAGTTCGAACCCCGCTCATGCGGGTGCACTTGACTCCTATCTTTATTGACTAGGATTGTCAGTTTTCCTATCAAAGGTCAGTGGTTTTCTCCGGGCACTCCAGCTTCCTCCACCAATAAAAACTGGCCGCTACGAAATAGCCCATTAGCGGTGCTTAAAAGTGGCGTAAAAACACCAAAAATCAAAATCTAAATCATACCAAGTCTAGATATATTTTAATAGTCTCCTGGTGTCCTACTTCTATTGCAAGCGAACGGTTATGTTCAAATACTGTTTATGTCACAGTTCAACATGGAGTCCTCATAGCAGTCAAAGTTTAAGTCATGTCTATTTCTTTGAAAAACAAATTCAACTGTTGGGATGTAATTTAACTTATGTTTAAGCTCAATGTTAAAATGGAGGATAAAAATAATATTTGTACAGTGTAGGGAAATAAAAAAAGGTATTTGTACTTGCCACAAAACAGGAAAAAAGCTTGGCAAGCCTTGCTTTTCTCTCTGTTTCTAAAGCGTGTACTAATAAATTTTATATTTTCCTACACTTTTAATAAGAATACTGTATATAAAACATTTTCCTATTAAATCATGGTCATCAGGAAAGAGAGGTGACGATATCTCTTATTAACATTTTATGACAAAATGTTTAGGTACATTACGACCTGACCTGATAGAAAGTGCATCAGAATTAGCCAGTGGGAAAGCAGACGCTATTAAAACACACCATAACGACACAGAATTAGTACGGGAGTTGAGAAAAAAAGGCAGAGTTGTTGAACCTTTGAAAGATTTTCATAAGGACGAGGTCCGGCAGATTGGGAAAGACTTAGGACTGCCAGATGAGATGGTTCAAAGACACCCTTTCCCAGGTATTGCACAAACAACATATTTTTAGGTTTTCTTTGAAGCCAGATATAGATTGAACTGCATTTTTATCATCATTTTGGTATTTTACACTGGAGAAGGGATCATTAGTCAATTTTTATGCCCCCGCTGTAGCAGAGGGGGCATTAAGTATTACCCTTGTCCGTCCCGTCCATACATCCCCAAAATTGGTTTTCATTCTCTAACTTTAGTTTGCCTCAAGCAAATGTTATGAAACTTATACACAATGCTTATTACCACAAAATACAGATTATGATCAAAATTGGGTGGCGTCACTTTTACCGTTCATGAATTATGCCCCTTTATAAACATAAAAATTGCTGAATTTTTCGTTTCCATTCCCTTACTTTAGTTTGAATCTACCAAATGTTATGAAACTTATACACAATGCTTATACCACAAAACAGAGAACAAGTTTGAATTTGGGTGGCGTCACTTTTTAATACCGTTTTAGTGTTATATGCAAGTGGAGGCATCAACTGTGTCCTATGGGCACATTCTATATTTATTTTTGTAGAGCCTGCGACTTTTGTCACAGAAAGCTCGACATAGGGATAGTGATCCGGTGGCGGCAGCATTAGCTAACTTCTTAAAAGCTTTGTATTTTAGAAGGTGGAAGACCTGGATGCTCCATACTTTGTATATAGATGCCTTATGATACGAAGTTTCCGTCCGTCACATGTCCATTGTCCATGACTTCATTTTCATGGTTCAGTGACTACTTGAAAAAAAAGTTAAGATTTTTTATAATGTTAATTTCTCTCTTAAAATGAGTAATAGGATAACTATATTTGGTATGTTGGTACCTTGCAAGGTTCTCAGCCGGTCAGACAGTTTTCACCTGACCTCGACCTCATTTCATGGATCAGTGAACAAGGTTAAGTTTTGGTGGTCAAGTCCATATCTCAGATACTAGAAGCAATAGGTCTAGCATATTCGGTGTATGGAAGGACTGTAAGGTGTACATGTCCAACTGGCAGGTGTCATCTGACCTTGACCTCATTTTCATGGTTCAGTGGTTATAATTTAGTTTTTGTGTTTTGGTCTGTTTTCCTTCTACTGTATGCAATAGGTCTACTATATTTGGTGTATGGAATGATTGTAAGTTGTACATGTCTAGCTGGCAGGTGTCTTCTGACCTTGACCTCATTTTCATGGTTCAGTGGTCAATGTTAAATTTTTTGAGTTTTGGTCTTTTTTTCTAATACTATATGCAATAGGTCAACTATATTTGGTGTATGGAAATATTTTATGATGTACATGTCAGTCTGGCTGGTTTTATTTGACCTTGACCTCGTTTTCACGGTTTATAGCTCAGTGTTAAGTTTTTGTGTTTTGGTCTGTTTTTCTATTACTATAAGCAATAGGTCAACTATATTTGTTGTATGGAAGGATTGCAAGCTGTACATGTCTGCCTGGCATGGTTCATCTGACCTTGACCTCATTTTCATGGTTCATTAGTCAATGTTTTGTTTTCTTGGTTAAGTCTGTATCTTAGAAACTATAAGCAATAGGTCAACTATATTTAGTGTATTGAATGATTGTAAGGTGTACATGTATTTCTTGTTTGGTTTATATGACCATGACCTCATTTTCTTGGATCATGTTAAGTTTATGTGATAGTTGTAGTAAATTTAAAGCTTTATATTTAGAACTATCAACATAATATCAATGATTAGTAAAGAAGCAGAGACATTTCAGCGTTTGCACTCTTGTTTATTTGTAACTAGATCTTGGTTTGTTCTTTTTAAAGTTTTATTGATCTTTTTGCTGTTTAGACTACAGTACTGGTGCAAACATAAATTGTTATAAGACAAAAGTAAATAAAATATAGAACATTGTTATTATGCGATAAAGAAAAAGTAAGGATTTACAAGCCTTCGATGTGAATATGGAGTACAATGTATATGATACCATTTTAAGATTTGTAATACTTTAAGAGTTCATTAAATATACTATCATAATTTTTGTAACTAGGTCCTGGTTTAGCTATTCGAGTGATTTGTGGTGACCATCCATACATGTGTAAAGACTTTGGAGAAACAAGTGTACTACTCAGATTTATAGTGGATTATGTCAATGCATTAAAAACAGTAGGTGTAATGTATATATAGATTCTATCACTGTATTAAGTGTGATACAACATTTTTATTATACCCCATGGAACAAAGTTCAGTAGGGTATAATGTTTTTGACCTGTCCATCCGTCCGTCAGTCAGTCAGTCTGTCAGTCCTGTTCTTGTCATCGCAACTCCTCTGAAACCACACAACAGAATTTCATGAAACTTTGTAGATAATAAGGACATACTATGTAGATGTGAATATTGACAGGAAATTATGATTCAATTTTTTTTCTAGGAGTTATGCCCCTTTAACCTTTTTGTTGACCTAGATATACTACTGCAACAGTTTTTCATTTCAAATCCTCTTTAGGTGTAATACCATCAAATCATAGTACGTCACATCCGGTTGCATATGAAAAAGGGTCGAAAAAAAATATTCCCTTGAATTTGACAGTTGTAGGAAATTAATCCTACATTTCATTGCAGTAAAAAATTTCTGAGTCATAAACATATATCTTGGGTGTTTCAAAGCACCCTTATTTTTTATTTGGTGTTTCTATAGAATATTTTGGAAACTTGAGGTTAGATGGTTACTAAAGCTTGTACACAGGAAAAAGAGGGGTGAAAATTTGATTGGTTAACTTCCAGTGATGGTTATTTTCTTATATGCAATGAAATGTTATGTGAAATTTTGTCTATAGTACTGGACAGGATAAAACTTTACTCATGCCAAGTATTTCTTTATTTGAAACAAAGATAAATTCTGCACAATTTTTTGAAAATTGCAAATTTAACAAAGACTATTGGGGGAAAATCGATGGTGGTATTACACCTGAAAGCACATAACAGAATTTCATGAAACTTCATAGATAGTTAGGACACACTAGGAAGATGTGTATATTGACAGGAAATTGTGATTCAATTTTTTTTCTAGGAGTTATGCCCCTATGAACTTACAATGCTTGCCTGAATATACATGTACTACTGCAACAGTTTGTCATGCAACTCCTCTGAAACCACAGAACATAATTTCATGAAACTTTGTAAATAATAAGGACATCTATGTAGATGTGCAAATTGACCAGAAATTATGATTCAATTTTTTTCTTGGAGTTATTAACCTTTGAACTTACAAATTTGGCCTAAATATACTACTGCAACAGTTTGTCATCGCAACTCCTTTGAAATCATACAACAGAATTTCATGAAACTTTGTAGATAATAAGGACATAATACGTAGATGAGCATATCCTCAAGACATTTTTATCAATTTACTTTTGTAGGAGTTATGAGTCTTTTAACTTAGGAATCTGGTGAGGTTATGTTTGCCAAGTGACAATGTGGGGGCATGGGGTATGTGAGCGCACTCACAAAGTTTCTATAATTCCACTTGAAACAGTATAATTTTCAATTTAAGGATGTTCACTACTCTGTTTGAAAATAACAAGCTTTTTAAAAGACTGTCATAAATTGATAGTATATAGATAACAGCACTTAAATTTTAGAAAAAAATGACAGATCCATGTCCTTGTTTTTGAGATATCATCAATTGAAAATTTGGTGGGAAGTGATTCTCTCTAGATTTTTCATATATTTAACATTTGCAACTTTTTCTTTCAAAAGCAATGAAAATTAAGTTTTTAGAAAATTTTTAAAAATGGCCTTTTAAACTATATGTAAGAAAAATATGCTAAGAAAAATAGGGGTGAGCGAGCAAAATTTTTATTGGCACTAAATAGATAAAACTCACCTCACCTCACCTATCCTCTTCATGCCGGTCGTCATTTAAGGCCCTGATACATTTTTTCCATTTTACACAGTCTTTAGCTGCTGTTCTTGATGTAGCCCTATTGTTCCATCCAAGTGATGTTCTTTCAGTCTCTACAGTCCGTCTCCAAGTGGTTTTGGGTCGTCCAACATTCCTCTTTCCCTCAGGTTTCCATGTCAGTGCAACTGAGCATATTCTGTTGGTATCCATCCTTAGTACATGGCCAATCCATCTCCATCGCCGTTCTATTATATCATCACTTAGCTTCTTTGTTCCAGCTTTTATGTGGAGGTTTTCTTTGGATATAGTATTGGGCCATCTTATTTTCAGTATCTGTCTTAAACATCTGTTTTGGAAGGTGTTCAATTTCTTCTTGTCTTGTTCGGTTGTTTTCCAGGTTTCACATCCATATAGTAGGACTGATGTGACTAAGCTGTTAAATAACCTGACCTTTGTTTTAAATGACAGTAACGATGATCTCCATATTTTTCTTAGCCTGCTAAATTGGCCTTTAGCTTTCTTCAACCTGTTGTCCATGTCATTGTCACAGCCACCTTTCGTTGTTACTATTCCTCCTAGGTAAGTGAAGGTATCAACATCCTCTAGGTTTTTATCATTTAACTTCACAGGGTTGTTATTTGTGGTGTTCATCCGCATTACTTTTGTTTTGAAGGTGTTAATCTTAAGTCCTATTTTGCTGGCATTCTCTTGAAGTTTATCTGTTTTCAGTTGTATGTGTTGGAATTTGGAAGACAGTACGTAGTGCTAGGTTGTCAGCAAAATCAAGGTCTTCCAGTTTGGTGGTGAATTTCCATCTGATTCCTGTTTCATGATCTTTAATCGTTTGTTTCATGACATAGTCAATGGCTAACAGAAATAAGAAACCAGACATCACACATCCTTGTTTTACTCCCGTTTTTACTTTAAACCATTCCGATTGTATACCTTCGTCTATGACTGCACACTCAAATGAGTCGCAAAAGAGTTTTATAACTGTGATGAGTTTGTCTGGGATGTGGTAAGCTTTTAAGATGGACCATAAGCTTTCCCTGTGGATGGAATCAAACGCCTTTTCAAAGTCTACAAAGTTGATGTACAAAGGAGCATTCCATTCGGAACATTGTTCTATGATGTTTCTTAACGTGAAAAGTTGTTCGGTAGTGCTTTTACCCCTTCTGAAGCCAGCTTGTTCTTGTCTCAGCTCTTCATCTATTCCTTCTTGTATTCTTTGGATAATGATTTTTGTGAATACTTTACTTGGCACAGAAAGTAGTGTTATGCCTCTGTAGTTATCACAGCATGTTCGATCTCCTTTCTTTACTATTTTAACTATCAGACCTTTATTCCACTCTTTTGGTATTTCATCTCCAATCCATATCATATTGTAAAGTTTATGTAGATACTCGGTTGTTGTTATTGTATCTGCTTTTAGTATCTCAGCTGTTATGCCATCTATGCCTCCTGACTTCCCATTTTTTAATCTTTTCAAGGCTTTTGAAATTTCCTCTTTCCTGATTGGACCTGTATCTATCTCTCTTTCCTCGATTTCATAGTTTAAATTGATGTTAAATGGTATTTCAGGTTCAGGTCTGTTCAAGACTTCTTGAAAGTGTTCTTTCCATCTTTTAAGTTTTTCGTCATGGTTAGATAATGGATTTCCAGACTTATCTTTGATGACTTGAGGTGGTTTCTGTTTTTCATTGCAAATTGTTCTTGTTACTTCATATACTGTTTTCATCATACCATTGCTTGCTGCTTTTTCTGCTTCTTCTATTATTTTAAAGTTGTCTGTCCATTGCCTTTTGTCGTTTCTCATACTTTTCTTCACCTCCTTGTCTTTGTCACTGTACTTGGCATGTAAGTTGTTCTTAACTCGTTAAGTCTCCCAAACGAAGTTTGGGAAGACTTATTGGTTTTGCTCAGTTCTTCTTCTTCTTCTTCTTCTTCTTCCGCCGCTTTTAAATTTGAACTTGTCCGCACCCGTTCTCCAAAACCGCTTGTCAGATTAACTTAGGGTTTCACAATATGTTAGACTAACATGTCTAGTGGTGCAATCAGGGTTTTGTTTGTGCAATGGGGTTTATAAAGGGGTACTTTGAGGGGCAAAAAGAAAGGAGGGTTTTACAATAGAACCCTATGGGATTTTATTTTTTAAACTTTTCAAATGATTATAAATTGAAAACCGTTTGTGATATATACAATCTTTTTAATTGAAAATGTTCTAAATGATAAAGCACATTAAATGAAATACAGGGTTAGTCCCCAGGGGTCACCCCCACCCCCTGCCATTTAAGAAAGTTCTAATATCTTGTAAATGGTCGAGATCCCCACCCCTAAACCATATATATTCTGGTTTGTCATGCTTAGATGGTTTGAATGATATACAGGGTTAGTCCCCAGGGGTCATCCCGACCCCCTGCCATTTGAGAAAGTTCTAATATCTTGTAAATGGTCATGATCCCCACCCCTAAACCATATATATTCTGGTTTGTCATGATAAAGCACATCAAATGATATACAGGGTTAGTCCCCAGGGGTCACCCCCACCCCCTGCCATTTAAGAAAGTTCTAATATCTTGTAAATGGTCGAGATCCCCACCCCTGAACCATATATATTCCTGATCATCATGTCTCGAACATTTGAATGACGTATAGGGTCAGTCCCCAGGGGTTCCCCCCCACCCCCAATGTTCTAATATCTTGTAAATGGTCGAGATCCCCACCCGTAAACCATATATATTCTGGTTTGTCATGCCAAGATGATTTGAATGATATACAGGATTAGTCCCCAGGCATCACTAATGCATATAACTTTACTGGACCAAACCAATTTTCACTGGACTTTGTCCAATGTCAGGCGACCCTGGGAATTACAAATTATGGGACCTTCGTTTTGGAGACTTCGTAACAGCATCCTGTTACAATCATTTCTTGTTCTGATCTACTGTTGTTAGTTCTTTCCTTTAGTTTTCTTCTCTCATCTACAAGTTTCCACGACTCATTGGAGATCCAGGGCTTTTGCCCACGCTCTTTGAAACCTAGTGTGTTAGTTGCTGTTTCTTTATAGCATTTTGTTATACCTTCCCAGAATGTTTCTATGTCCTCTAGTTCGTCTAAGAGTTGGAACCTGTTCTTTAGCTTTTCTTACTTCTGGACGTTGTAGTTTGGTGGTATCGAATCTCTTTCTTGAAGTATCTGTTACTATTTTGTATTTCTTAAGTTTGATTCTTAATATGCATTTGAGGAGTTCGTGATCGCTGCCAATGTCTGCTCCTCTCATAGCTCTTGCATCCAGTATTGATGTTCTGTGTTGTCTAGTAACCAGGATATGGTCTATTTGATTTTCTGTTTTCTTGTTTGGTGATATCCATGTTACTTTGTGTTTGTCTTTGTGTGGAAAGATTGTGCCAGTAATGACTAAGTTGTTCCTTTGACAAATATCAAGGAGGTTTTCTCCATTTTCGTTTCTTCTACCTATTCCATGCCTTCCCATGATGTTCTCATGACCTTCATTGTTCATCCCAACCTTTGCATTAAAGTCTCCCATTACTAAGAGGATGTCATGTTTAGGTGTTCCTGCTATGACTCTATCTAGCTGTTTTATGAAGCTTTCTTTTGTTTCATCTGTAGCATCGTTGGTCGGTGCATATACAGTGATTATACTTATTTTAATGGTTGATGTGTGAAATCTGGCATACATTAATCTCTCAGTGATTGGCTTCCATTCAATCAGTGCCTTTTTTGCTCAGCTTGACAGCATCATTCCAACTCCTGCCTGATGTAGTCCATCATTCCTGCCTGAGTATAATAATACTTTACCATTTTGAAGTGTAAGCTTTCCACTGTCTAGCCATCTGACTTCGTTTAAGGCCAATATTTCTATATTGTATCTGTCCATTTCCCTCTCCACTTCTGCAGTTTTACCTGTGGCATACATAGTTCTTACATTCCAACTGCCTAGAAGTATATTATCTTTTGGTGTAAACTAGAGGATTTGGAATATCTTAGAAAAAGTCAAAAACTAGTGTAGCGAACATCCTTAAAACGTGAGTCTTGCTGTGCTTTTTGAATATTTATAATTTTACTGTCAAGTTGGAGAAATATTGTTTTGCACAAAGTTGGGGTGGTGGAATTTGATTGTCTAATGATTTTTAGTCGATATGGAGAGAAACCTTTTCAATGATCTGCAAATGTAGATTTAGGAATGACAATTTGGTTACAATTTGGTTTTAATAATATGACTTTCATTGCATTTTCAAGACAAAAGTTGGCCGCAATCATAATTAGTTGAAGCATTAGTTAGAATATAGAATTTATTGGAAATAATTAAATAGAAAGTTACTCCTAAATTGCTTTAATTGAGTATCTGGTTACACATTTATATATTATAGTTCTAAACTTCATGTCTACATTTCCTAAATGTATTTGGCTTGACTTTTATTTTATTTTATCATACAAATTCATTTTATTTTCAGCCACATTTACTTATTACGAAAATAAAAGATAGCACAACAGAAGAAGAAAGAGAAGAACTGAAAAGAATAAGTTCTGAGTGTAACTTGACATCAACATTACTGCCCATTAAGACTGTTGGTGTACAGGTATAATAAATTTTAGAAAAAAGGCGAGGGCTGGATATAATGTTTCATATCTATCCTTTACTTGAACTGTTATCCTTTACATATTCGGTGGATTCATTGCTATTTCCTGAGGTATTGATTTTCATGGATTTCCTGGGTATAAATAAACTAAGAATATAAATATTCAACAGAGTACACGTTTTCTATAGGCTTGTATGAAGACTTTTAATGACAAAACCATTCAATCAAATATCTGCAAAAATACAATTCTCTACAAAAATGATTGAATCCACAGTACACATCTCTATGTAAACTACAGATCACATAGATCTTGCCATTATATTCAATTATCATTTAAATATAATATATCTTTATTCACAAAACTGCAAAAATTTAGTTTTTTGTCGAGCCTTCGACTTTTGTCACAGAAAGCTAGACATAGGGATAGTGATCCGGCAGCGGCGGCGGCGACGTTAGCTAACTTCTTAAAAGCTTTATATTTTAGAAGGTGGAAGGTCTGGATGCTTCATACTTTGTATATGGATGCCTCATGTTACGAAGTTTCCGTCAGTCACATGTCCAATGTCCTTGACCTCATTTAAATGGTTCAGTGACTACTTGAAAAAAAGTTAAGATTTTTTGTAATGTTAAATTCTCTCTTATTATAAGTAATAGGATAATTATATGTGGTGTGTGCGTACCTTGCAAGGTCGTCATGCCTGTCAGACAGTTTTCACTTGACCTCGACCTCATTTCATGGATCAGTGAACAAGGTTAAGTTTTGGTGGTCAGGCAGGTGTCATCTGACCTTGACCTCATTTTCATGGTTCAGTGGTTATAATTTAGTTTTTGTGTTTTGGTCTGTTTTCCTTCTACTGTATGCAATAGGTCTACTATATTTGGTGTATGGAATGATTGTAAGTTGTACATGTCTAGCTGGCAGGTGTCTTCTGACCTTGATCTCATTTTCATGGTTCAGTGGTCAATGTTAAATTTTTTGAGTTTTGGTCTTTTTTCTAATACTATATGCAATAGGTCAACTATATTTGGTGTATGGAAATATTTTATGATATACATGTCAGTCTGGCTGGTTTTATTTGACCTTGACCTCGTTTTCACGGTTTATAGCTCAGTGTTAAGTTTTTGTGTTTTGGTCTGTTTTTCTTAAACTATAAGCACTAGGTCAACTATATTTGTTGTATGGAAGAATTGTTAGCTGTACATGCCTGCCTAGCATGGTTCATCTGACCTTGACCTCATTTTCATGGATCATTGGTCAATGTTTAGTTTACTTGGTTAATGTTAAGTTTATGTGACAGTTGTAATAAAGCTTTATATTTAGGACTATCAACATAATCATGATAATATCAATGATTAGTAAAGAAGGCGAGACATTTCAGTGTGTGCACTCTTATTTTTCATATGAAGTATTAAGTCGAAACTTACCTAAGAAAGACAACTCGAACTAATGGGAGACAACTCAGACTTCATGATGAAAAAATAATCAGGCGAGTGCATAATAAAGTTTAGGATGTTATATCTTTGCACTTATTTATTTTAGGGTGATTGTAGAACCTACAGTTATGTTGTTGGTTTATCAACAGATGAGAAACCACCCTGGACAAGTCTGATGTATCTTGCCAAGCTCATCCCACGGATCTGTCACAATATCAACAGGTAAATTGAATTCAATCTGATTTAATAGAATATAAATCCTGTGTTCATCCTTTTGCATACAAGGATTTGATAATGCTCTATTGTTCTTTCTGTTTAAGAGACCTTTCAGGATCCTCTGGTTTTGTTGTATTGATACACATCTTCAAAAATTTGAAGGCAGGAATTTCATTGGCTGATGTAATAATTAATTACCAGAACAGAAAATAGAATGGAGCATTGTCATATCCTTGTAAACTTAGCACGGACACAGGAAATCAGATTGAATCGACCCTTTTTTGTTATATGGTAGATTTACGAACTGAAAAATAGATTGTTAATTCGGCTGTTTCATATTCATGAAAATGCCAACGATTTACAGTATTCCAGCTTGAATCTCAGGGCAGAAGGGTGCTAGTTGACTCAAAGGGCACTTTTGCGCAATCAATCAGATTTATAGGGCACTTGTGCAAAGTAAAATGAATGCCAAAAATACTAATTCTGATAAATCCCTTCCAATAGAAATGTACCTATAAAATTAGACAATATAAAGCATTTTAACAAATTAAACATAAGAGTGCTGTTAGCACATCCCCTAGATTTTTTTCAATATTTCTAAGATAAACTTGAGGCCATATTTTCAGCATATTTCTTTATTTTATTTCCATGTTTTATCACAATATTATAAAATTACAGTTGAATTATTTGTGAATACATGCTAATATTGTATATTGACAATTATTTATTTTGTCCTTAATAAATGTTACAAGTAAGTAGGTCTTATGTGCACATTAAAGTGCTCCTTAGTAAGGAATATTATAAATATAAGAGATAAGACATTAAGTGATGCAATCACATTGATGTTCAAAATCCAATTTTATGTCAGACAACAAGAAAATAAAGAGAATACTTACTGCATTTTCCAATTAAGTCTATTAATATGCCTTTAATATTGTTTAACAAGACATAAGATTTATTTATTTATTTAATCCTCACTATACAAACTTAAATAAAGTTTTTCTAGTGCACATAAACAATTTACAAATGGAGCACATGTCATTTCATTTTGCATTAAATATCTAGTATTTGTTCAATTATCTTAAATTATCTAATTAGCAGAGGCCAATCACCAACAGAGGTGATAAAACTGCCAAAGGTTATATGTCATTGTCAATTAATTAGTTGTTTAGACAAGCATGCAGGTAACAATTTTACTGGAAATGCAGATAGACATGTAATTTGATTTAAGTTTATTGTAGAAGGCATATGGGTACAATTTTTTGCTTTGAAGGGCAGGAGGGCGAGGGTAAGGGCACCAAGGGCGGGTGGCCCTTCTATTTGGGGCAGATCTGGGAACACTGATTTACTAAAGATAGAGGGAAAAAATAATTTTTGAGGCATAATTTTTGGTTTTTTATGTGTTTAGTGATTTTGTGTCATGAATTGAAACACTGCATCGTTTCTTTTTAGCTCACCGTTCCTTAGGAACTGTGAGCTTTTGCCATCACTTGGCGTCCGTCGTCGTCGTCTGTCGTCGTCAGTCATTGTCCGCCCAGTGTAAACTATTTCAAACATCTTCTCCTCTGAAACTACTGAACCAATTCCAACCAAACTTAAGCTGAATGATGCTTAGGGTATCTAGAATAAAGTTTGTGTTTTATTTACTGTTTCGTCAAATAACATAGCCGCCATGGCTAAAAATAGAACATAGGGGTAAAATGCAGTTTTTGGCTTATATCTCAAAAACCAAAGCATTTAGAGCCTATCTGTCATGGGGTTAAAGTGTTCATAAGGTGAAGTTCTATCAGCCCTGAAATTTTCAGTTGAATCTGATAACCCATTGTTGGGTTGCTGCCACTAAATTGGTAATTTTAAGGAAATTTTGTAGTTTTTGGTTATTATCTTGAATATTATTAATGATAAAGATAAACTGTGAACAGCAAAAATGTTCAGCAAGGTAAGATCTACAAATAAGTTCAATGATCAAAATTGTCAATTGACCCCTTAAGGAGTTATTACCCTTTAAGGACAATGTTACACAATTTGTTTATCATGTTTTTTAACTTTAAAAAATCTTATCTGAAACTACTGAACCAATTCCAACCAAACTTAAGCTGAATGATTCTTAGGGTATCTAGAATAAAGTTTGTGTTTTATTTTCTGTTTCGTAAAATAACATGGCCGCCATGGCTAAAAATAGAATGTAGGGGTAAAATGCAATTTTTGGCTTATATCTCAAAAACCAAAGCATTAAGAGCTAATCTAATGGAGGTAAAAATGTTTATTAGGCTAAGCTCTGTCAGCCCTGAAATTTTCAGATGAATCTAACAACCCATTGTTGGATTGCTGCGACTTAATTGGTAATTTTAAGGAAATTTTGCAGATTTTGGTTATTATCTTGAATATTATTAATGATAAAGATAAACTGTAAACAGCAAAAATGTTCAGCAAAGTAAGATCTACGAATAAGTTTTGTATGACCAAAATTGTCAATTGTCCCCTTAAGGAGTTATTGCCCTTTAAAATCAATTTTTCACAATTTGTTCTTTAGTTTGCTTACTTGAAACATAGGGGTAAAATGCATTTCTTTGATTTTGAAGAAAATATGACAGATACAAAGAACATTTCAATGGAAGTTTTAAGCCATTCATTAATATATATTGAAAAGCAAAAATAATCATTGATGAAAGATTTAAGCAAAAAATTACAGGTGAGCAATTCCGGCTCTTGAGAGCCTCTTGTTTATTTTGCCATTGAAAATTGAATGTTGGTTTCCTCTAACACAAGAAAATTTTAAAAGGTTGACAGCAGTAAAACTTTTATTTTATGTTGTTTTTTTTTTCAAAAAAATAAAATGGGGCACATGCAGTTTTGTTCTACAAAGATTTTTTTCTTAAGCCACTGAGAGGAAATTCTTGAGAGAAAAAAAGTGAGTTAGACATCAAATCTTAATCTGTATTGTGGTTATTGTGATATATGCTATTTTAAAGTTTAGAAATGAAAGATAAATAATTTTTAAGAAATTATCAGACAATTAAAGCATCATTGATAATTTTCTTAAAAGAGAGTCTTTTTTCATCTGTTACTTCTCATATTACAACATAGTCTATACAACCAATATTTCATGCTGCAGTAAAGGTGTCAACACTATTTGTTGACACAGAGTTTAAGTGGACTGCCTTTAGAATTTCTAACTTTATTTAAGACATTTCTTTAATTAATATATAGAGCTTATTTAAAAGACTGTAGTCATACATAGAATGACTGTTAATGTGATTAAATCCTTTTAAAGATTCTATTCTAAATGCAAAAAATCATTTTTAATGGCACTTCAATAATATAAATAATCCTTAAGTTTGATTTATGTAATTGGTTAGGGCCGATTCAAAATTGATCGTAGAGGGGGGATGAGAGGTACTCAAAGTAATTAGTTTGAGGGTGGTTGCATTTTCCTTGAAAGAATTATTAGCAAAAGATAATTTTAAATTAATGATGGTTGGGGTCTGAAAAAGTGTCTCCCATTCCTCCATGCATTTTCATTATGGAACAGCCTTTATCAAAGCACTTTGAATATTTTAATTTTCTAGAAATTGTAGTTCTGAACAAAAGAAATTACTGTAAATTCAGAAATTTTTGCGAGCATTTTTTATTACGATTTTTTGAAGAATGGACAAAAATGTGTGATTATTGAGACTTCAGTAAATGCTACTACATGTATCAAAATTAAAATGTGAGTTTTTGCCATATCTATTCCATTGCAATTTTTGCAACAAAATTTCTGAATTTAATGAATAAATTTAGATGTTGTTTTACATGGTTATCTTGATTTTCAGGGTTGTGTACATCTTTGGTGGTAGTGTCAAATACCCATTGGAGGATATAACACCAACATACCTCACAAGTGGAGTGCTAAGTACCTTACGACAAGCTGACTATTTGTGTACAAAAGTATTAATAGAAGAAAAATGTGTTCATAAACTAAGTCAAATGCCAGTGATTATAACGCCATTACATTTTGATCGGGATCCTGCTCTGAACCTTCCGTCGTGTCAAAGGTCAATAGCAATACGCACATTCATTACGAATGATTTTATGACAGGTATACCAGCAACACCTGGACAGCATATTGACACAAAGGTAAATTTGATGTTGTTTTTATGATGATATTAGGCCCCAAAAAAATATATGTCTGTTAAAAGTTATATCATTAAAAAAATAGGGTAGGTAGGTTGGTATTTCCATTTTATTTTATTTTTTTTGCAACATGATTTTGAGTCTTGCAATGGTCGAGTTGTCCATGGGCCAACTTTACCCATATTTTTAATGATTGGATTATTTTCCTTGGTTATTGGTTGGGAAAAAAATGGCGGCAAAGTGTTTATTTCATCACACGAGTCGTGAGTTTCTTAAAACAGCTGTCATATTCATGATTGTGAACATTTAGATGTATCAGGCAATTGATTTATTTTATTGGCAACTCTAACTTTGCTTTTGACAAAAGTTCATTTTATTTTTCACTTTAAGACGGGAATAAAATGACTCTAAAGTAGGGTCGGTCGGGTTACTGTAAACAGACATATTTTTTTGGCCTTATTGAGAAAGAAATGAAACTTTTCTACAGAATCATTTGTAGTTTACCTGTCGATTTAAACTTTTTTTAGTTCACTTGTTCCACCAGTCAAGGGTGTAACTTGAATAAGTTATTAGAGAAAAATAACATACATGTGTTATTACGGATACTTTCTCTTAATCTGTAGTAACATATGTTTGTTATCAGTTAAATGTACCATAACAAATTTTATTTTTAGTGAGCACTTGGGGAATTCTTGAAACTTCCCAAGTGATAACTTAGCTGTAATAACAAGGCTTAGTTATTACAGGCATTTAACTTATTACATGAGACACTTGGGAATGACTAGGAAGCTTGCGCAGAACCTCATTACATGCTGTTATCATTATTTATTACAGTAAATTCAAATAAATTGTGATATATGTAGGAGAAAAGGCTTTGAAGAGATGTAGAGAAACTGTAATAACACCCTTTAGTTATTACAGGCATATTTTTTCTGTAATAACATGGGTGTGTTATGCATGATTGGCAAACTATGGGCTGTTATATCGTTCTAAAGTTTAATATACATAAAGACAATTATAATATCAATAGAACTAGTACACAATTTAACAAAATAAAGAATGTATGCCCCTTTGAAACATGTAACATACATATGTTATCACAGATTTTTTATTTTTTAGCCCTAAATAACAAATGTATGTTATTTTTCTCTAATAACTTATTTAAGTTAGACCCTTGACTGTCCACAGAATAAATACAATAGCTATTGTTCTCTGTGGAGTTTTATTAACTGGGACCTTTAAATTTCTTCTAAGAGAAATCTGTCACTCATTGATTAATTCACCTGAAGAAAAAAATGTTCTAAGTTGATGAAAATGCATGTATCAACTCACAAAACTGCATGTGATGTTGTGTTTATTTAATATCAATGATATATTTTGAATTTGTTCGATATGAACAAGGAGTGGAAACATTTCATTTCTTTCGCCATGATATCACAATATTCTTTCAAGGAAGAGGACAAAGGATGAGGTATGATAAGAGCCATTATTTGGCTCCTAAGACTGCAAAACAGAACAATCATACATGCTTTCAAAATTATGGCTTTTTTAAATTTTCTCGATGAAGTCACGGAAGTAAAACTGATGCAAAGGGTATTTGACCTTGCTTTTGCCATGATAATAAAAACCCAATATTATTCTTTAAGTAAAGGACAAATGAGGAGATATAATAAAAACAGTAATTTATATTAGCTACCTAGATTGCAAAAACAATACAGTATACCATGCTTTTAAAATTAAGGTTTCTTTTTTTTTAATTGTCTCTCCTCAACGAAGTCAGTAAAGCGAGATTTAGGACTGCTGTTTCTATGATGATGGAGGGTACTTGGTGGCCGAGAGGTCTAAGTAGTCTAACTACTGTATCACACTAGCCTTTCAACACTGAGGTTGTGAATTTCAAATCCCGTACATGACAGGTGTCAGTTTTTTTTACCGAAGGTTGGTGGTACTCTCTGGGTACTCCAGCATCCTCCACCAATAAAGACTGACTGCCACAAAATAGCACAATAGTGTTAAAAGTGGTTTTAAACACCAATCAATCTATGATGACGGCTGTTGTTTCAGCAGTTTATTAGATCATTTTGGTAGGTCAATGATATTTTGTATTAATATGAGGGAGTACATGTATAACTGAACTGTAAATTTTTGTCATATGGTTAAATTAACATACACCCACGCATTTACATATATGTATATTTACCAGTATTGCAAAAAATAGTAAAACTTGTAAATGATTTTCAACAGTGAAAATATATATTTTATAAGAGCCACTGTTGAAAATTTAATTATAGTGACCCATGTATTTCATATCACTGTAATAACAAAATTGATTTTATGATTCATTATTCACAATTTAAAAAAAATTGGTCTTGGTGGATGAGTGGTCTTACAAATAGTTGAACTACGTATACTGTATCACTGCACTGAGGTTGTGAGTTTCGACTCCAAGTTTTATTGACAAGAGTATCAGTTTTCCTGCTGAAGGTTTGGGGTTCTCTGTGGGCATTCTGGCTACCTCCACCAATTAAAAACTAACCACCACAATATAGCCGATAGTGCTGAAAGTGGCGTTTAACACCAACAATCAATCAATCAATCACAATTAAAATATCTGATATTTGCAGGTGCTAGATAGAATGGTTACAGAGATTTTAACAGTACCAGGATTATCGAGAGTTATGTATGATCTGACATCCAAGCCTCCTGGTACAACAGAGTGGGAATAATAACATTTGCCAAACTTATCATTGTTAAATCTGGGCTTAGTCTATATCATCAGTTGAGAAAGGAAGTCATAAAGCAGGGGTTCAAATTAGTGTGGGTCCGAGGTCCGCGATCAGTCTTTTCTCATAGAGGACTTTTCATTTTTAAATTTCAAAAGTCAAAGACCTTCCATTCTTTACACTGATGCTTGATACACGACCATTGAGTTCTCATGGAGGACCCTTCACTTAAAATTTCAAATGGTCCGGGACCTTTCATTATTTAAAGCAAATTTGAACCCCTGCTAAAAATTTTCTAGATGCTTCTTGATACAAATGTATATTTTAAGAGCTACATATTGTGAATACCAGTTAGTTGTTAAGGATGTACTTAGGTGAGGTTTTGGAATAAGTGTCAAATTTTCGGACTTCTTGGTGTTTTTCCATATTATAGAAGGTAAAATATTTGCCCCATAACACCTTTTTATCTTTTAACATAAGACTTAATAGCTCATAAAAGGTCATTTGACAAAGTTTAAGCAGATTCTTGATTTTCCTCCTTTTGATTTGAGACCCAAATAATACCAATGCAAATATAAGGTAAAAGTCTGAGCATGCTGAGTCAGCCTTTTCCCGCCATATTTTATAAATCAAATATCTCGAAAAGGAGCTCCATGACCTATTAGTATTTTTAGCTTATTTTGATCCTTAACTAATACTTTTCCAGCTTAAAGTATCAATTTTGAATTCTTGATTAATTTAATTTTATCTTAGATCACCTAAGTACATCCTTAATTCAATACTGTGGATTCATTAATATTTGTGGGATATCAATTTACCTGGATGTTGTTTGAATAGGTGAACCACTTATTTAAATGTTTTGTGAAGTACAAATTTTCTATAGGCTTGTATGCAAACTATGGCAAAACCAAGAAATCAGATATCCATGAAAATAGATTTCTTCCTCAATCTGTGAAAATAAATGAATCTTCAGTATTCACAAACATACGAGCAGTGTTACCAGTACATGTTCAAAAACAGAAATTATTAGTATTCACATGATTTTTCTAAGGTACTATTCTGACTACACCTATGTTGACATTTGCAAAACGAATTTTATTGTAACTCGTACAATTGTTGACTTATTGAATGTTTTGTCTGTAAGAAGCAGCCTCTTTTTGGGCTAGATATTGTCTCAATAAATTCATTAAGGATGTTGGCTTCTTACATTTTAAATTTTACAGATCCCTTTGTAATTCCTTTTGGTTTTTACCTTTGCTAGGCATCAAACAATATTGCCCAGAAACCCCTGAATTTCTCAATTTAAAAAAAAACTGACCTGTCAAATACCTATACCAAGTCAGGAATATGACAGTTGTTTTTCATTCATTAGATGTGTTTGAGCTTTTGATTTTGCCATTTTATAAAGGACTTTCCATTTTGAATTTCCCTTGGAGTTCGGTATTTTTGTTATTTTACTTTACACTACTGGTCAAATATTTTGAAATTCTTGTTATATGTAATATATGTTTTATACAGTTCAACATTCATTCCTTCTCAAATATTATATTGAAAAGTTTAACTGCATCATTGGTCTCATGGTAAGGGGCTCACTTGAGTGCTGGAAGTCATAGGTTCTGGCCCAGCCGGTTCGAAAAAACCAATTACTTGCAAATTGGTATTTGTTGCTATTCCCCTGAGGACACAATATTTTTATAGGAGAAAGAGCAAAGACTGGTGGACACAGAGTCGGGATAATGTGTCCAAGTGGGGTGATTTGTCTACCTGCGGACTGTTACCTTGTGAACTAGCAAATTAAAATTTCAGCTCAGCATGTCAGTCTAATACAAGCCGTTTCATATTGATATCACATTACAGCTCTTTTCGTAATGCTAGCAAGGCAAAGGTTTGTTTGGCTTGCTTGCTTTGTTTGTATCAATGTTTGCTCAAGCATTGTAATTAAGATTGACATCTGAAAACAACATAAAAAGGAGGATTTAAACTTGTATACATTATATTTAAATTTGATTGGACATTATCAAATAATCAAATTTACCTTTACACAGATTTAACTCCGCCTACTTATATTGTTTGCAGATGTCAATCTTAATTACAATGCTTGAGCAAACATTAATACAAACAAAGCAAGCAAGCCAAACAAACCTTTGACTTGCTAGCATTATGAAAAGAGCTGTAACATGTTCTCATCCTGAATATGCATTTAATTTGCAATTTGCCACTTGATTTTAAGCAGGCATTTGATACCATTTGTATGAAAAATTCAGAAACGGCCATCTTTCATCATCATCTTATGAAAAGTCCAGAGGCATCTACTTCCACCAAAAATTTAGTTTTTAAGATGCTTGTGTCTTTAATAGTAACAGGTCCACAGACTTATCTTGATATCCCATAATTTTGATGTGTTAAACATTATCAAAGACTTAATGGATGAAAATGGACTTATTTTAAATATCATCAGCAGACTCCCTCTATTACAAGATTCAAATGCATCATAGGTAATACTTTTCAAAACTCTGCAATAAAATGTTGTGATTGGTTAAAAGCATCCTAATCTAAATAACTGCAACCAATGATATGACAGTATTTTGATTTTGGGGTCCAAACAATAAAAATACCTTTAGATTCTGATACTGAAAATTAGCATTGTATTTCAGAATTTATATTTAAACTGTCAGTATTCATAATCAGGGATAATAAACAATATTATCTAAAATGGAGACTATAGATGAAGAAGCTAAATACACATAATTTACCAATTAACCATTTTTAGCTTTGCCATCACTTTGCGTCCTTCGTCAGTCGTCTTCCGTCGTCGTCCGTCCGGTGTAAACTATTTTCAACATCTTCTCATCTGAAACTACTGAACCAATTCTAACCAAACTTAAGCTGAATGATCCTTAGGGTATCTAGAATAAAGTTTGTGTTTTTTTTTCTGTTTCGTCAAAAATTATGGCCGCCATGGCTAAAAATAGAACATAGGGGTAAAATGCAGTTTTTGGCTTATATCTCAAAAACTAAAGCATAAAGAGCTAATCTGACTCGGGGTAAAATGTTCATTAGGTCAAGTTCTATCAGCCCTGAAATTTTCAGATGAATCTCACAACCCATTGTTGGGTTGCTGCCACTATATTAGTCATTTTAAGGAAATTTTGTAGTTTTTATAAAGTTTTACCCTTGTCCGTCTGTACGTCTGTCCGTACGTCCCAAAATTGGTTTCCGTTCTCTAACTTTAGTTTGCCTCAACCAAATGTTATGAAACTTATACACAATGCTTATTAACACAAAACACAGGTCAAGTTTGAATTTGGGTGGCGTCACTTTTACCGTTCTAGAGTTATACCCCTTTACAAATGAAAAAATGGCTTAATTTTTTGTTTCCGTTCTCTAACTTTAGTTTGCTTCAACCAAATGGTTTGAAACTTATACACAATGCTTATTACCACAAAACACAGATCAAGTTTGAATTTTGGTGGCGTCACTTAAACCGTTCTAGAGTTATGTCCCTTTACAAATGGAAAAATTGCTGAATTTTTTCGTTTCCCTTCTCCAACTTTAGTTTGCCTCAACCAAATGTTATGAAACTTATACACAATGCTTATTACCACAAAACACAGATCAAGTTTGAATTTTGGTGGCGTCACTTTTACCGTTCTAGAGTTATGCCCTTTACAAATGGAAAAATTACTGAATTTTTCGTTTCCCTTCTCTAACTTTATTTTGCCTCAACCAAATGTTATGAAACTTATACAAAATACTTATTACTACAAAACTCAGATCAAGTACAAATTTGGGTAGCGTCACTTTTACCTTTCTTCAGTTATGTCCCTTTATAACTATATGATATGCAAGCGGGGGCATCATCTGTGTCCACATGTGGACACTATCCACATTTATTGGTTATTATCTTCAATATTATTATAGATAAAGATAAACTGTAAATAGCAAAAATGTTCAGCAAAGTAAGATCTACAAATAAGTTTTATATGACCAAAATTGTTAATTGACCCCTTAAAGAGTTATTGCCCTAAAGACAATTTTACACAATTTGTTTATCATGTTTTCTAACTTAAAATATCTCCTCTGAAACTACTGAACCAAATTAAACCAAACTTAAGCTGAATGATTCTTAGGTTATCTAGAATAAATTTGTGTTTTATTTTCTGTTTCCTCAGAAAAAATGGCCGCCATGGCTAAAAATAGAACATAGGGTAAAATGCAATTTTTGACTTATATCTCAGAAACTGAAGCATTTAGAGCAAATCAGACAAGGAGTTTAAGTATTCATTAGGTCTAAGTCTGCCTGCCCTGAAATTATCAGCCAAATTGGGATTTCTTAGGTTATTGCCCCTGAATTGATGATTTTAAGGAAATTTTGCAGTTTTTGGTTATTATCTTGAATTTTATTATAGACAAAGATAAACTGTAAACAGCAAAAATGTTCAGCAAAGTAAGATCTACAACTAAGTTTATATGACAAAAATTGTCAATTGACCCCTTAATGAGTAACTGTCCTTTAAAGACCAATTTTTCACAATTTGTTCATCTAGTTTGCTTACTTTAAAAAATCTTCTCCTTTGAAACTTCTGAATCAATTTCAGCCAAACTTGGGCTGAATGAGTTTCAGAGTATCTTATATAAATTTTGTATTTTATTTCCTTGATAGCCACTATGGCTAAAATGGAACATAGGGGAAAAATGCATTATTTTGCTTTTGAAGAAAATATGACAGATACAAAGAACAGTGAAATTGCATTTTTAAGCCACTCATTAATACTTATTGAAAAGCAAAAAAAATCATTGATGATAGATTTTAGCAAAAAATCACAGGTGAGCTATTCAAGCTCTTGAGAGCCTCTTGTTTTATAAAGACTGTACGCTATTACATACATTATGTTATGTGATTAAACAAGCTGTGTTGATGATTTAGCAGGCTATTTACCTAATGAGAACGTGTGTCTTATGTGATTTAAAAGGTCTAATTCCTTAAAAGCTATTTGGCTGTAAACAATATGATATAACAGGCACGATATGCAATTCAAAGACAAATTATTGTGTTTACAAGTCAGTGTCCTGAAACATAATTTGGCAGAGTACACTATAATCGAACAGCTAATTGACACTATAACAAGACAGTTTATTGTAATTTATAAGGCTGTGTTATTTAAAGCTACACGGGAATTTAACAAACAATGTACTCTTTTAAGATACATACTGTGGCTAAAAAGTAAACGTTTCTTAGAAAATTATTATTATTGACCACTAGAATTAAACAAACAATATACACACCCAATTTTAAGTTAATGTCCCTGAAATTTCCATTTTCAGCAAATCTGACAGTTTTGGTTTATATCTCAAACACTTAAACAATTTTCAGAGAAATTGGACTACCCTTTTTGAAGTAGTTGGCACTGACATGTCAATTTTTTGTAAATTTCGAAGTTTTTGGTTGTTGTCTTGAAAACTAGATTAGATAGAGAAAATTTTGATACTGTAAAAATGACCAAAACAATAAGATCTACAATTTATTGCCATTGAAAGACGATTTTCAACTATTTTGCGTTTTTTTTTACAGATACTTT